GGTCCTTTCCAGGCCTAACCCTTCATGGTTCTCAAATCAACAAATTTCTTATTGTCTTTTCTACTAATTTTTTAATTTAAATTGAGCATATGTTAATTTAGGTGATAATGTAGAGTGTTATGTTTCATGCCTTTAATAACCGTATCAAGGAAGCAGGCCAATACCTTGATGGAAGGGTTTATATTAGAAGTTCTGAGCATATAATTTTTTTAGTTTTGAAAGATTAACCTTAGAGATTACATAGTTTAACCCCACTAATTTGCCAGAGAAAACTGGAGTCGTAAGACATCAAGTGACATATCTAGTGACAAGACTAGGATCAGTATCAGGGTCTCCTGCTTTCCATGCTGAAGCAGTAGGGATTTGAGACATTCTTTATATCTGATGGTCGTCAGGACTTGGAATGGAATATACACAGCCATAGAATGCAAAGGCCTGTGCATACTGGCAAACAGCATAGCAGGGCAAGACTTACTATGTGACTTCTCTATACTGTGTAATAACAAGAGAGTGTGAGCTTGCTATTATTTATTATTTTTCTAGGAAAACTAACACCAAGCCCAGGTATTCTAAGTCCAAAATTCAAGACAGTTTATGTCTGTAAAATTCTTAGACAAAGAATATTTACATAGCTGTTCAACTACTCAATTTCAAAGCAAAGTTCTTTAGAATAATCTGTGTGTTTTGATTTTTTTAAAAAAATCTACAACTAAATAGGTTTATAAACTTTCCATTTTTAAATGTGTGAACTAAAACCTTAAGCAAAGAATTACACATTCCGATGTGTCTGAAGGCTAGAGCAGTAATCTAAGTGCAATAGTGGCTTGGTGACTGTTAGCCCTTTGTTGTTATGTCAGCTGCATTTGGTTGTTGACCATGTTAGAATGCAGGCCCAGCATCAGAAAGTCTACTGGTTTTTCGAGAAAATCCAGAGATATATATTCTTATGTGAAACCCCCCAATGTCAACTTAAATTTAAAACCATTTCAGTATTATATAAACCAAAAACCTCATGTCTGTGAGCCACATTTGGCCCTTTAGTTTATAACCTCTGCTTAAACAGAAAAGGTCTTCAGTAATCCATTTAAACATTCACACAAGGTCAAATTGAGTACCCCTTGTAGTTTTGAGGCATTTGGAATTTGAAGTAAGGGAGCCTTGCCAAATACTTCTGGCATTTTCCTTTTAGCACAACCTAAATATTACAAATCTTCAGGGGAGGTGCGGCGCAGCAATCTGATTCAATGTTTGAGAACTCATGCCTTAACTTTGTTGCTCCAAGTAAAAGATGAGGCAATTCTCATGCTGTTTCCTTGTCTCAGAATGCTGCAAAGAGGCTCTGCAGATAGTGAAAAAGATGGAGGGCCCCAGTTTGCAGAGGTGTTTGTCATTGTCTGGTTTGGTGCAGTTACCATCACCCTAAACTCAAAACTTCTTGGAGGAAACATGTGAGTATCATTAAAATGCATCCTTCTTTTTGTCTTGCTAGGAAGCATATCTTAGAATTTTTTTTTTTTTTTGAGACAGGGTCTCACTTTGTTGCCTGGGCTAGAATGTAGTGGCATCATCATAGCTCACTGCAACCTCAAACTCCTGGGCTCAAGTGATCCCCTTGCCTCAGCCTCCTGAGTAGCTGGGACTACAGGCGTGTGCCACCATGCCCAGCTAATTTTTTTAAAAATTTTTTTGTAGAGACAGGGTCTTGCTGTGTTGCCCTGGCTTGTCTTGAACTCCTGGCCTCAAGTGATCCTCCTGCCTCGGCCTCCCAAAGTGCTAGGATTACAGGTGCGAACCACCGCACCTAGCCGCATATCTTCTATTTTTAAGAAAACCAGGCTAGTTAGATATTTTTTAAAAGAAAAATCAAACTAAATGAGGGCCAAAGACAAAGTTGTCTTAAAACTATTACCACTAAACAGAGATAACCTAGCTGAATTAGAGTATCTTAAATTATCTGGGGTCTCTCTCCAGCCCCTGAAATCACAGGCAGAATCTTTTGTTAGAAGATTATGTACATTTTGGGAGGCAGGTGGTCCATAGCATTCAACAGATTCTTAAATAGGTCTATAAACTAGCAAAGGATTAAGAACCACTACCTTAGAGGTTCAGTGGGAGAAAGTGATCTCTAGGAATTAGAGCAGATCATTTGGTATTAGACAGTTGACTTATTTTTAAGGGGTTTAAGAGGAGAGGAGGGAGAGTATAGAGAGAAAATTAAAGCACGCAATGTTAGAGCATAGACACGATGTCTCAGGAGGGAAGCAACAATCCACAATGCATAGAAATCTGTGTAGTAAATTGTGTCATGACACATCAGCTGTACTTATGATATTTATGGATGTATTTTGTTTTTAGATCTTTTTTTCAGAGCCTCTGTGTGCTGGGTTACTGTATACTTCCCTTGACGGTGGCAATGCTGATTTGCCGGCTGGTACTTTTGGCTAAGCCAGGACCAGTAAACTTCATGGTTCGGCTTATTGTGGTGATCGCGATGTTTGCCTGGTCTATAGTCGGTAAGTATGTACTTATCTCTACAACAGCAGAATAGAACAAAAACATGAATTAAAGGTGAAGACAAGATGAGGAGCAGTGTAACTCCAGAGTCATCCATAGAACCCTCTGCTCTAAGCGGGCATTGATGGGGATGGCGTCTGTCTTAGTTGGGCATCTGGACCTAGAAGATGTGGAGAGTCACATCTTTATTTTTCCTTAAATAATGGACAGGATCGGGAAAGTAGATTACACTAGACTCAGCTCAGTCCTGGTATATACAAGGCATAGGTGAGATGACTTGGACCTTTTCCTGACAAACTAATCATAATAAAAATAATAGCATTTACGAATTGTTTATTATAGGCCAGGCATTGTTGTGAGTGCTTTATATATAGTCTCTCATTTAACACAGCTCTCTCACAGCTACCCTAATAGATAAATACTATTTTTAGTCCCATTTTATAGATGAGGAACAGTCACAGAGAGGTTAAGGACCTTGCCCTCGGACATGTAACTAGTGAGTAGGGGAGTCGAATTTCAAACCCAAGCAGATCATGCACCCTTGAACACTATAGCACTTTCCAATGTAGGTTTAAGTCTCATTATGCAGTACTTTTCTGCTTCAGTGGCACAGTTTGCTAAAGATGAGGAAGGGAATCCAGGCATGGTGGTGCACGCCTATTGTCCTAGCTACCCGGGAAGGTGAGGTGGGAGGATTGCTTGAGCCCAGGAGTTTGAGGTTACAGCGATCTATGATCAGGCCACAGTACTCCAGCCTGGGTGACAGAGTGAGATCCTGTCTCTAAAAAATAAATTTAAAAAAATGATTAGGAAGGGCCTATAGTAATGGCTGTGAATGTTCTGCGCTCGTTTTTACATTTCTAAAATTCTCTTAAAATTCCAGCTTAAACTAGAAGTGTTCACTAGCTTCTGATTTAATGGGATAGACAGACTGCCTAATATTTTTAAGTGTAGTAACATCTCATTGCTCTGAAACATGGTTGAAAGCTAAGAAGTAATCCAGAAAAGGTCTGAGGGAGCCAGAATTTGATGCTCCAAAGACTATACCAAGCTTGGGTGCTTACTCATGAGAGTAAGTCTGATGATTACCTCACGTGCAATTCTAACTAGTATAGCTATCTAGTGTGCAGGCGCGCAGCTGATCAGAAAGTAGAATCTTAGGAGAGAGAGGCTTTAACTCCGCAAATATCCATCACAAACTGTTTATCAGGTACAGTGCTGGGCATTGTCTCTGCCCCTGGAGCTCCCAATCTAACGGAGCAGCGGGACATGAAAACACTTACGGCAAGGGCAGCAGGTGTTCCAGGTGGGAGACGGAAGTCTGTGCAGGGTACAGTGAGAACACAGAAGAGAGAAGTGGGCAGTTTCTGCCTGGGGTGAAAGAATACCAGGTGATCATTCAGAGAAGATTTTCTAGGGGGTGATTCTTGATGGGTAGGTTTTTGCCTGGGTGGGCAAGAGAGGGATGGCATTCAAAAGAACTGATATCTAAAAAGAACAATTAACTCAAAAAGCATAGCAGTATGAGGCCATTTACCATCGGCATGAATAACCTTACACATCTTTATTAGCCTGTTCAGCACAGTTCAGTAACTTTTCAGGAAAGATTAAGAAACTCCTTTTAGAAAGGTTTCCATCCAAAATGATTGAAAACTTTCAAAGCTTTAGTACTTGCAATAGGAAGCCCCCAGCTATCTGAAAAACAACTACAGAATGCCTTTTTGTCTGAGGATCAGAAATGCAACTGAACTTTTAGTGTTATTCTATGTTCCAGATTATGCCAAGCACATTAAAGTTTAGTAAATGTTAGTAGCTGTGACAATATTATTGCGTTAAACATTCTTTTTTGTTGTGTCTTGTTTTCCTTAGCCTCTACAGCTTTTCTTGCCGACAGCCAGCCTCCAAACCGCAAAGCCCTGGCCGTTTATCCTGTTTTCCTGTTCTATTTTGTCATCAGTTGGATGATTCTCACCTTTACTCCTTAGTAAAACAGGAAATGGGAATTCAAAATGAGCAAACTGAAAGCTCATCTGAAAAAATGCAATTCAACATGCAGCTTTGCCTCTGGCCCTCTTTTGTTTAATTTTAGAGGTATTTGGTAACTGGGTAGAGGAGGAGATGAAAAGGGAGCCATATAGCACTATTGCCACCTCTGTGAGAAACTGATGTTTGAAAGGCTGTCCTTTTCCTCTTAATGTCATTTCTTTAAAGTACATGTGCATACAACGCATAGTATAATGCCTCCTAAAGGCGTGATGGAGTCACTGTGGTCCATGTGGGTGAAAACCAATGACTAGGGAAGCACATGGCTATGTCCTATAAATTGAATAGAGTTGGTAACTATTTTCAGTTTTGAGAATACCGGTTCAGGTGCAGCTCTTAAACATACTGCCTTATGACTATTAGAATATGCCTCTCTTTTCATAAGAAAGGATGGATGGTCTGTATCCATTTGCTTTTGTTTCTCTCAAGCTTAAAAAGGCAATGACAGAAGTTAAGGAGGGGTTTCACAGACGTGGAATGAGAAAATATGCATTAGCCAACATTCAGATTTGGATCAGAGGAAATTCTACACTTGTTGCTTAAAAAAACAAACAAGGTGGGAGCAGTGGCTCACACCTGTAATCCTAGCTCTTTGGGAGGCTGAGGTAGGAGGATTGCTTGAGGTCAGGAGTTCAAGACCAGCCTGGGCAACATAGTGAGACTTCGTCTGTCTGGAAAAAAAAAAAAAAAAATAGCCAGGCACGCCTATAGTCCCAGCTATTCAGGAGGCTGGGGCAGGAGGATCACTTGAAGCCAAGAGTTCAAGTTTGCAGTGAGCTATGATTGTGCCACTGCACTCCAGCCTGGGTGACAGAGTGAGACCCTGTCTCAAAAAAAAAAAAAAAAGGCAAAGGTCATCTAAAGAATCAGCCTTTTTATTCTTTTTGTATAGTCACCTTTCTGCACCTTGGTTGGCACTCTAGTTTTTAATCTTACTTCCTGGCTCTGAATATGCAATCTAAGATGTTAGCAGTCCACATGCCTTCAACTGAAGTTCTCATTGGTTCAATGCTGGAGCTTATTCAAATAGAAAACCCCAGAAATTTAGATCGGTAGGTCACTAATACATATTATCGTGTGGGTACCTTCTCCTAAGTGTAGAATGAAGCAGTTTGGATACGGTATAGCGACAAGGGGCTCTTTATTATTCTGTGTATTCTGGCCTCTAACTAGAAAGTAAAGCTGAATCAGAAGGCTACATTTAACCGTGCGCACATGGAGCGATGATTAACAGAACGGCTAGATGCTTAGAGCATGACGTAGGAGGAGTTGGGTTCACAGCTGCTGCCTTTTCATAGTGGGCTTAACAGTTTCTCATTAGATGTGTTTTTCAGCTTGGGGAATAGCAATTTATTTTCTCGGTTTTAGACTTTATTTGTCAAGCTAATTACCTCCCCTTTAGACAAGTACATTTTGCACATGTGCACCTACTTGTACTCTCGGATACTTATGCACACAAATGTGAAGGTTTTCCAGGGAGCAGAGGATCTGGGACAGGCTGATTCTGAGCTAGCCAGGGCTCCTTTAAGGTAATCTGAGCTGTTGCCTTCTATAAATTGCACATTGAAGAACTCTAATAGACAAAGATGAGGAGTCAGACAGGAAACACTCATTGTAAATATATAGCCAGTGATGAAGATATGAATTTCTTATACCACACTTCTCATTTATTGTAGAATTTAAATATTTATTCATTTTGTATTTAAAGACTACCTACACATAAGTATGATTCTAAAAACGTATTTTTCTCCATCCCCAGATTAACCAAGTGAACGATACCAGGCCAATGTTGGTCCCCTCTGTTCTGGCCTTGTCCAGATTTTTTTGTTATATATTTGTATTTATTGCAATTTACTTTTTAAATTATAAAATAAACCCTTTCAGGACAAAGCCAATGTTTCAGTCTTGAATTGGTAAAGAAAATATTCTGGAACTGATCCTAATTTTGAAGTTGGTCTTTAATTATCATCCATGTCCTATGTCTGAAAGTTTCTAGCTTTCCACTTAAAATATCTCCTCTCCCAAAGTTATTTCATAATCTGCCCCAATGATGATAATGTAAGATTAAAGAAGTAAACCTGCTTCTCAAAGGGAATTAAGTCTTCACCGAATTTTACTCAGGCTAAACATTTGGTCAAAAATTTCTAAGGCCACAGCTTTGGGGGATTTGTGGTGTGTGGGGGGCGGTATACATATTGGGTATTAAGGCAGCTTGTTCTGTGTATTAACCTTTGCTCTTGGGTAACTTTGGGAATGGCTTTATTTGATCTAAATGAAAATGGATAAAATGGATGTTTAATTTTTCTGAAAGTGAGTGGTCAGTTTGAAAGTATGAATAAATATTTTCTTAATATATGCGAACAAGTGCATTGCTTTCTGTGACAAGTTAAGACCCGAATATCTGGAAGTTGTAACCCTCAGCACAGCTTTTCCTGATTTCCTGCAAAGCTACATGGCTGATGATAGAAATGAAGAGTAGGACAGGGGACTCCAACAAGGGAAACCCTGGTGCGGGAATTGGGAAGTTTCACGCTTCAGATGAAATTCAAGACCACTGCAGAACGTGGTGTGTCTCTGCCATCCCGAGTGGTCACTTGCTGCTCCTACTTTTGAGACCGAGACTCTGCTGTCATATTCTTTAGCAATAGGAAGGGTGAAGACTGGATTTAATTGCTGTTCAGATGATAAAAACTCAGTTGATGCCAACACATTTGAATGTGCAGTATAGTCTTAAGAGTCCACCATTAATCATTCAATCTTTTGCCTCTTAAGAGGTTTATTACATGAGTTGATTTTGGTCTTTTCAGTGTGGTGTGGAGTTTTCCTGTTGTTGCGCAAGGTGGGGTCATAGGGCATGGGACTGGTGAGCATTTTACTGTTTACTGTATTTGTCTTTTTATAAAAAGTATCCCCCAAAATGTGATTAGAAGGCTAGCAAGCCTGGAGATTTAATTATGTACTTTATATAATCTAACTACTTATTGTATTTGGACTGCCTGTTTATTCCTGGAGAGGAAAATGAAAATCTCCTGTCAGTTCAAATTCTTGGGTAACATCAAGTCATCGGAATTTATCTAAAGCTTATCATGATTTGAGAAGACATCCATTGCATGCAGCTGTTTTAGCCCAGTGTAAGCACTGAAATTGTGATTCTGAATTAGACTGTTAGTTTCTGAGACATTTGGATGGAAATAAATGTATGAATGTTAATTCATGTATGTAAATTAGAAATACTTTTCTAGATTCTGTGGGCTTTTATTAAAAAGACTTTCTTGGGATTTACTTAGGCTATAGAATGGCCAAATAATATTAATGACAATAATAGTACTACTAATAATAGCTAACTTTATTGGGTACTTAATGTGTACCAGGCACTATTCTATTTTTTTAAGATTTTTTATAACAGCTTTATGAGATACACATTATCATGAAATTCACCTTTTAAAGTGTACAATTCAGTGGTTTTTAGTATATTCACAAAGTTGTGTGACCATCACCACTATCTAATTTTAGAACATTCTCATTACTTCACACAGAAACGCGGTAGCCACTGGCAGTCACTCCTGTTACCCTTTCACCCCAGCCCCTGGCAACCACCAATCTGCTTTCCGTCTCCACTGGTTTGGCCAGGCACTGCTCTGCAGTGCTTTTTGTGCATCTCCTCTAATCCTCTGCATGCAGTACTACAATTCACATTTCACAAATAGAAAGTTGCAGCACAGAAAGGCTGAGTAAATTGCCCAGGGTCATACAATAAATCGATTTACAGTAACACATTAGATGAGAGCGTAGTAGGACACGATTTTGAATTGCATTATGGTGCATTATTATTATGGACATGAAATGAGCATACCCCTTCCCCAGGGTGTGTTCCCTGTTAGTAGTCTTTGCACCCTAGAACTGACTGGATGTCGGTAACTTTTTTTTCTGAGCAATGGAACACCCTATCATCGGCTTCTGAGAAGAACACAGAGCAGTTATGCATTGGGAGGAGTTAAGTTTCTTGCCCTCCTTGAGCCCCTTTTCTCTCCCTTCCCTTTCCACCACCAACCACCAGCACACACATACCCCTTTTTTCTCAAAGTCTTCAGAATCAAACAACTTCTGCCTCCTTTTTAATTCTCCCAGAGGGATGGTTAATGCATCAAAATGTAAACTCGTCTATTCAGGTGTTTACAGTGAAGGCATCCATCTGGTTGCTGATGCTACCAGTTGCATTCCTAGGCCCTGCGAGAGCAGTAGTACAAGAATGGAATGCTTTTCTATTTGGCCTTAAACTAGGTGGGAGGAAGAAATAACAGACTTAAAGGCTTTGCCGTATGAAGTCAGTGTTCTGCCTAGTAGGAAGTGGCCACACGCTGCTCTTGTTCACTCTGTTCTTTCAGAGCCATTGTACTGCTGGTAATTTCTTGGTCCTTTTCAATACTCCATTTTAATCCTGATCTTTCCTATAAATAATAAACCTGTGAAAAGAAGAAATCTGTAAAATGATTTGTGAATGTTAAATGTGCAAATAAAAACACTGGAAAAGGAGAGTTTGCGTCTGTCCTTATGGTGAAGGCACAGAGATACTTGTTGCATGCTGATTTCAGATATGATATATTGTCTTCAGACAGTATTGAATGCTGTGCAGGATTGCACAGGGAGCAAGAAGGGGAAGTCACATTTATTGAGCAAATACTGTATGCCAGGCCCTTTACTAGTTGCTTTATAAACAGTATCTCCTCTTATCACAACAGCCTTTTGAGGTCAGTGACATCCTTAAAGTAGAGGAATCTGAGGCTCAGAAAGGTTAAATAAATTGCCCAGAGTCGCGTAGTAAATGGTGCAACCAGAATCCTGAAGCTCCAGTTTTATGATTACAAAGCCTCTTTCTTACATTAGTCCCTTACCAAAATAAAACCATACCACTTACACTAAACTAGGTCAATCAGGCCACTTAGGAGCTTGGTGAGAAAAACTGGGTTTTCAGGCTTCTGCTGCGGACTATTCCTGTCCCTGCTCTTAGTTTCTAAATCACTTGCAGAAACCAAATTCCCCGCTGCCGTACACACATAATAGTTGAAAAACATGGTTTTTATTTTTGGTACTACATAAAAGACCAGAGTGATCAGTAAAAACAGGAGGAAGTCTTTGAAGTATTGAGAGAATTGGTATCATCCAAGAGAAAAGGAAAGGCATGCCAAAGGTAAAAGGGAACAAGCACGCCTGTGAAGCTGTCTGTGCACGTGACAGTGTGGCGCATTGTCCTGTACATCACCACAATGCTTTGTGACACTCATTTTTTTTTTTTTT